ATAAAAGAACATAGCCTGGAAGCTCTTTGGGAAGGGCACAATAGTTTGGTGAAAAAAAAGGAAGCTCTATCGGCAGATGTTCACCGATTCTTTGGTGAGATGCGTTGAGAGCTAAGGCAAATCAATGCTCGTCTAGATAGGAACCTAAATGCTCGGGTGGCATTGCCGGCAACCATACCGGCAGCTAGGCGAGGGTTCGCAGCAGATCGGGAGCAACTGTGAGACAATTTAACTCAGGGTTTATCCGATTCAGAAAATGAAATGGGTGGATTCAATCATCTCGAGCTATCGGAGTCTGAAAACGAACCAGAGCTAATCTGTAGACGACGCCCAATCGAGAGGGACAGACACCACAGCGATTTTCGCGTTAAATTGGACATACCGTTCTTCAATGGCAAGCTACACATTAACGATTATTTGGATTGGGAAAGGGTTGTAGAGACATTTTTTGAATACATGGAGATTGAACCTGAAAAGCAAGTGAAGTATGTGGCGTGTAGACTCAAAGGTGGTGCTAGCACGTGGTGACAGCAGGTGATTCAATCCCGGAGGCGTGAAGGCAAGGGAATCGTCCGAAGTTGGTTCTGAATGAAGCAGTTGCTGCGAACTCACTTCTTGCTGAGTAATTTTGATCAAATGTTGTATGTTCAATATCAGCATTGTGCCCAAGGATCGAGGATGGTGAACGATTACACGGAGGAATTTTATCAACTTAGTGCTCGGAATAACTTAAATGAATCCGCCAACCAAATAGTTGCTATATACATTGGTGGATTGCGGGAGGCCATTCAAGACAAGTTAGAGCTAAATGCCATTTGGTCATTGTCGCGGGTGATTAACTATGCTCTCAAGGACTAAATGCAGCTAAGTAGACACCAGTCCAGTAGGACTCACCGACGGAACTTTGATTACTCCATCGAAAACAATAAACCAGTGTTTCATTTCGCGGCCAATGCTATCAAAACTTCTTCGCGCCTAATGCAACATTACCACAAGCCAATACAAATCCTAGAGTACTGGAGAGCAAACCATACCAAAAAAACAAGGCACCGATATGGAAGAATTCTTATGCTAAAATGCTAACATCAAATGTTTTAGATGTTTCCAACAGGGACATAAGTCCAATAAATGCCCAACTCGGCCGCAATTTCAAATGCTTGAAGCCGACGAAGAAGAAGAAGCTAACAACAATAATGGTGACCTTGAGGGAGATCCTGAAGACGTGGTGGGAGATGAGAGAGAACCAGTACTATGTGTGATACAAAAATTACTCTTGGCTCCTCGGCAGCCCGCCAGCTCCCAAAGGAATGCATTGTTTAGAACAAAATGCACTATACAAGGAAAAATTGTGAATTGTTAATTGATAGTGGTTGTACATAAAATGTTATATCCCGCACGGTGGTGCAGGCTTTGCAATTGAAGACTTCGAAGAACCCCAATCCGTACAAAATTAGTTGGGTTAAAAGGGGATGGAAATTGCCGTGTTGGATATGTGCAAAGTGACCTTTTCAATTGGTCGAGACTATGCTAGTGAAGTACTCTGCGATGTAGTAGAGATGGATGTTTGCCACCTGATTTTGGGGCGGTCGTGGCAGTTTGATGTGGGGGCTATGTATGATTGCAAGGCCAACACATACTCCTTCGACTGGAAAGGGAAAAGATTGTGATTATTGCCCCGCACACCTGACAAGGAATTGGTTAAAATAACATCAAAAACTGCACTTTATGCCATTACCGAAAAAGCCCTGCTCAATGCTTGGCGAGAGTCCAATTGCATACTGGCTTTAATTGTCCAAGAACATAGCCATATTAGTGAAGAACAGACGATGCCAAAAGAGATCAGCTCGCTGTTACAGCAATACACGGACCTTTGTACGTCCAAACTCCCGAATGAACTTCCACCAATGAGAGCTATTCAACATCAAATTGAGCTAATGCCGAGGGCCTCTCTTCCTAATTTGCCTCATTACAAGATGAGTCCAAATGAGCATCAAGCCTTGCAACAGATTGTCGACGAGCTTTTAGACAAATAGCTGATTCAACCTAGTGTGAGCCCCTGCGCTGTGTCGGCTTTGTTGGTGCCCAAGAAAGATGGCAGCTGGAGAATGTGCATGGACAGCCGGTCTATCAACCGCATTACTGTTAAATTTCGTTTTCCAATACCGAGAATAGAGGATATGCTGGATAGATTATCCGGAGCCACTATATTTTCAAAGCTAGACTTACGCAGTGGCTACCACCAAAAAAGAATTCGTCCCGGGGATGAATTAAAGACGGCTTTCAAAACCCGTCAAGGCTTATATGAATTGAAGGTAATGCCTTTTGATTTGTGCAATGCACCAGCTACGATCATGCGCTTGATGAATGAGGTGCTTAAATTGTTTCTCAATAAATGTTGTGTTGTATATTTTGATTATATATTAGTGTACAGCACCACAAGTGACGACCACCTCAAGCACCTAACAGCTCTGTTTGACACCTTAAGAAATAACAAATTGTTTTTGAATCGCCACAAATGTGAATTTGCTACATAACAGGTGTCTTTCCTCGGGTTTCTTATCTCAGTAGCTGGTACTAGTATGGATCCAAAAAAAGTGGCGGCAATAGAAAATTGGCCTATCCCTCGTTCATTATCTAATATTCGCAGCTTCCACGGGTTCGCTAATTTTTATCGGAGATTCATTAGATGATTCAGCAGTATAATGGCTCCAATCACCAATGTGTTGAAGCAACCGCAACTTGCCTGGGCAAATGAACAGCAACAGAGCTTTGATGCAATCAAAGTTGCTTTAACTTCGACTCCAGTTTTGATATTACCTGACTTTAACAAACCATTCATGGTTGACACTGACACATCAACCATTGACATCAGGGCAATTTTATCTCCAGACAAAAAACCGGTGGAATTTTTTAGTGAAAAGTTATGTCCATCTCGGCAAAGGTGAACTGTTTACGAGCAGGAACTGTATGTCGTTGTTAGAGCGCTGAAACAGTGGGAGCATTACTTATTACACCAAGATTTTGTCCTCTGTAGCGACCACAAAGCTCTACAATATATCAATTCTCAAAATATCATTAATCGGATGCATGCGCGCTGGATTATATTCTTACAAAAATTTACCTTTGTGCTGAAACATAAGAGCGGAGTGCAAAATCGGGTAGCCGATGCGCTTAGTAGAAGGGCTGCTTTTATAACCAGGTTACAAAATGAATTTGCAAGCCTTGAATGCTTAAAGGAGTTATATTCAGATGATGATTACTTCCAGGAACATTGGCTCAAATGTTGTCAGCAGGAACCATCAGCCGACTATTCTATCCGCCATGGGTTTTTATTTAAGGGAAATTTATTGTGCATTCCTAGCTCATCTTGGAGACAGCAGATTATTAAACAGACTCATGCGGGTGGTTTCTCCACTCACTTAGGTCGAGGTAACAAAGTAAGTCAACTACAGTAGCTATTTTTTTGGCCGCATCTAAGAAGAGATGGCTCTAAGTTTGTCGAAAGGTGTTCCATTTGTCAAAGTTACAAAGGAGCAGGACAAAGCACCGGATTGTATCAACCCTTACCCGTGCCGGAATGCATCTGGGAGGATTTGAGCCTAGATTTTGTACTTGGCTTGCCACGGACAAAGCATGGCAATGACTCGATAATGGTCGTGGTGGATCGCTTTTCAAAAATGGCGCACTTCATTGCCTGTAAGAAAACATTCGATGCTCTAAATATTGCCAAGATTTTCTTCAAAGAAATTGTGCGCTTACACGGCATTCCTCGAAGCCTCACATTGGATAGAGATGTTAACTTCATTAGCCATTTTTGGAGAGAACTGTGGAAGAGATTGCACACTCAAATCCAACTAAGTTCCTCATATCACCCGCTGACCGATGGCCAAACAAAAGTGGTTAACCGCACACTGGGTAATCTCTTGCGATGCTTAGTTCAAGACAACCCAAAAATCTGGGATGAGTTGCTCGGTCAAGCGGAATTTGCTTTAAATTACATGTGAATCATTCCACTGGTATGTGCCCATTTAGTATTGTTTATACTAAAGTACCAAATACAGTTCTTGATGTTGCAGTGCTTCCAAAGTGCAAAAGTAAGGCGGCCTCTGCATTAGCCGACCATTATACAGAATTCTTATCTAATATTCGGTTAAAGCTACAAGGGGCCAATGAGAAGTATAAGTTGGCTGTGGATGGCCATCGACGAGAAAAGTTGTTTAATCCTGGAGATTTGGTTTTCGTCCGATTGAGGAGGGAGCGACTACCAGTGGGTGAATACACCAAATTGGGCAAAAGAAAATGGGGGCCTTTTCCTATTAGCAAAAAGATTAATGATAACACATATGTTGTGGATCTTCCGGCGGAGTTTAATACATCACATACTTTCAACGTTAAAGACATTTATGCTTATAACCCTCCCGACTACAATATGACGCAAATTCAATCTGTTAGCACAGATTTCCTTCTTGATGGGGCGAATGATGCGGAGCATCTCCTCTTATGGTGTTCAAGGGAGTATTTTATCTTCTTAGCATATTTCAGTTACATTGCTTAGTGTTGTTGTGAGCTCCACTACCCTTAGTGCTTTAATTAGTTGCATAGTACAGAAGACACTTTACTGTTTTATACTTTTAATCGTATGGGAGAAAAGTAGGAAGTATATACTAGAATTCCGGTAAGGAATACGGCATAAGTCTTATTATTATCAATACAGAAAAACTATACAGTTTATCTGTCTAGTTGCTTGCTTGTTTTCTCTGTTTCTTAATCCTTTGCAGGTGCGCCGGCATCAATATCATTTCTGACTATAGCCTAAACAAATCGCAAGATTCATAATATCCTGCCAAAGAATAGTCACATAAAAAATGAAACAATATGTTCTAAGAGAATGACGATTCATGAAAATCCTAACCGGCATTCAAACCAAGATAAACCAAACATTTAATGAATTCACAATTCTATCCCTAAGAAGAAACTAACGAAATCGATAAGCTTTTACAATAAATAGAAGCTTACATTTCCCCGCACCATGAACACTGTGCACTGGTTCCTTTCTCCCAAAGGAGGGTTTCTTCTTTGTTTTAAACAGCGAGGTTCATCGTTATCTGAAATCCTCATAAATCTTGTCGGAAAGAGAGAGGCGTTCCCGACAGCTTCCGAAATCTTTCCCTCTACAATCCTAAGAAGAAACATGCTCATACAAATCAAATGACCATTCGATATTTAAGGGGTAAAAATGCACAAATCAACAAAGAATGCCAATCCATAGCATTGATGGATCAGAACTATAAACAGAAACGAAAATCTAAACCTAAGATTTGCAGAACAAATAAGATCGTACTGTAAATTCCCAAAAAAGATTTCACAAAAAACCTGAAAATGTTTGAATTAGCATTTTTCGTTTCAAGGTGTCATTTCGCATCTTCATCCGCATCCCTTTCTTTGTCGATCTCCTCGCCTGTGCTTGCTCGATCTCTTGCTTCGCGCTTGAAAAACCGGAAGTGGCCGGCTAGAAAAAGGCGGGGTTTTCATATACAGCATTCCCCTAATTAATCAGACGGTTCATAATTCAGGTCATGAGATCCAACGGTTGGAATACAACATTAAAGACCATTCCTAAAAAATTGTATTAGATTAGCTAAACACATATGAGAAATTAATAAATAGTTATGGTTATATGAATTGTATTAATAATTTAATATAAACTTGAAATTTATTCTATTTCTAAAATTTATATTAAACTAATCTTAAAATAAATATAATAATTTTAATATAATTAATTTTCTCAATAAAAATAATTAAATAAATATCTCCATACATTAACATGATAGGGATTGTACAAAAACGTGGTCGTCTGGCACAATCGTCTGACTATGATCCCCAATATTATTGTTTGACTATTATCCCCAAACCTAGACCTGTCAATTTCGGGTTGCGGGTCGGGTTCAGGTCGAACCCGAA